GTTTCTGGCGGATAAATTGGGTTTCTGCAGATTCATGAAAACAAAAATGCCCATATTCTAGTAAATTCTTCCTATTCTTTTGTTCTCTTTTTTTTTTCTTGTTATCTGTAAAGTGTGTGAAATTAGTACATAAATGTAATGTGTCAATATAGTATAATGTTTACATTTCTACAGTGTCACTCATTTAGTGATGTTAAATAGTGCAGAATGATGTTGGTTTTAATGATTGTTCCTCTCTGATCTATATTTCTTACCATAAGACCTCATGTTTCTGTTCAAAGCTGGCCTCTTTCAATAGGAAACTCAGATTTTATTGATTTTGAAACCTCATTTGTTCAAAAAAGTTTTTTTACTAAAAAAAAGTTACTGATTAGCACTTCAATTGGTAATTATTGAGGCCCCAGTTTCATATTGTTCTAATTGTCAATCAGCTTATGTTATCGTTCTATTTTAGTTATATTTGTTAACTGCTTGCAGATTCATATTTAGTTATGCTTTAGCTTGAAGGGAAACATGGATTTGATGGAAGATAATGGCTATTTCATATGCTGGGATGAATTGATTCCGGATGCCTTGGGGCTGATTTTCAAGAATCTTTCGTTTTAAATGATCTCTAATCTCTAAAGTATCACTACAAATCATACAATTAGGATCAACTAAAATATCCATTCACAATAGCCTATCTCTCGTGTTAAGCTGGTCTAAAATGACTAACAAGACAATGATCGAATATCTAGGAACGTGTAAAGAGAACCAAATTAACTTTTGCTAGAATATATGAGACTCTCTTCTCCTTATCTCACTCCACAACCAAGCAGCGTTAATTTATTGCACTCCCAAAGTTGAAGCTAAAACAAAAATGATATCATCAATATTGAAAATCTTCCTCAAATTTCAACTAACATAATAAATTATTATGTTACAGAAACTTGTCAACTATTAGATATATATCTCCTCGTATTATTATTCGTTTCATACTACACTCGGCAAATTCCACTCATATTTTAGCTAATTGGTCATATATTGCACATGTTTCTAATCTCTCACCTTTACTTATGACTTTCTGAATTTTATATATATATATATATTGTCTTGCAAGACACTATTGTCGGTTAATTAAATATAGGTCTTTAAAAAATTAGTCAATTAAATTAATATCTATAATATTTTCAAAATAGTTAATAAATATATAAATAAACAAATTTATAAATATTATAAATGAAGATGTTTAATCACATTAAAAATTTATTCACCAATTCATAACAAATAAATAGACAAACATGTCCTCTAAATTTAGATATAAAATTAAATATAATTAATTGCGAATAAAAGATTATATAGAAAAGATGTTAGCGTTTTCGTTTATATTATTCTACTGGATGTTCTTTCTTGTTGTGAAGATTCTTCTTCACTCCTATAAGACCACCAATTTTTGAAATCAATTTCCTTGTTCTCGTTTTATCAGTTTCTTCGTCGCCATGGGTGAACTCATGGTGATTCTCCTCGTTGTTCGTCAAGTCATCCTCAGCTGAAGCTTTATTCGACTGACGGATCGACCCTGCTTCACTTTTTGGGGTTTCAACTATGTCAAAGATGGAGCCCTTGAGTGGGTCAAAGTCCTCAGAATCCGAACCATCATCGCTTTCTTTGGGTGGGATTCTGGGCTCTTCTTCTGGGTGCTTGTGTTTATGGGGGAATTTTATAATCAGACATGCGCGGTTGGCTATAAAAGGCTTTGTTTTCTTAGCAGGTTCTTTATCATGATCTTTAAATTCCTTGTGAAGATGGGTTGAACCTAAGTCCACTAATTTATGATGTGTTGAATTCAAGTCCACTGATTTATGATGCGTTGAACTTAAGTCCATTGAATTTTGAATCTTATCTATCTCATCATCCTCCATTTCCAAGAACTCCTTCACCGTCATCGACGTTGAACTCTTCGTCTTCGTCGTGGGTAACGGAAAAGATGATGGTGATCCTGAAAGTTTGGGTGCGGGTTGTTCGTTTTGTGTTGGATCCATTGGTTTTTGTAACTTATCGATTTCATCATCCTCCATAGCCAAGAACTCTTTCACCGTCATTGATGTTGTCATCCTCGTCGTCGTTATTGTTGGTAACGGTGATGATGATTTTGGTGCTGGTGGCTCGCTTTCTTTATCATGATGTTTATGTTCCTTGTTATGATGTGTTGAATCCATTGGTTTCTGTTTCTTACCTTGCTCATCTTCTTTCATTTCCAAACACTCCTTAATCATTATCGTTGTTGCTGATAACGGTGATGGCGATCCAGATGGTTTTGGCGCGGGTTGTTCGCTTTCTTTATCATGATCTTTATGTTCATTGAAACGATATGTTGAATCTATTAGTTTATTATTCTTACCTTGCTCAGAATCCTTCATTTCCGAACACTCCTTCATCGTAATCGTTGATGGTGATCCTGATGGTTTTGGATCGGGTTGTTCGATTTCTTTAGCATGATCATTATGTTCATTTTCATGATGTGTTGAATCCATCGGTTTCTTTCCTAGCTCAGGATCCTCCATTTCCGAGCACTCCTTCAAACTCGTCATCGACTTAGTCATTCTCACCGTCATCAACGTTGCTGGTAACGGTGGTGCAGATTTTTCGTTTTCTATAACATGATCATTGTGTTCCTTGTCATGATGTGTCGAATCCATTTTCTTGTGTTTCATATATTGCTCAAAACTCTCCGTTTCCGAGAACTCCTTTAAATTCGCTATCGACCGAGTCATTCTCAACATCATCAATGTTCCTGTTAACGGCGATTGTGATCTTCTTGGTCTTGGGGCGGATTGCTCGCTTTCTTTATCATGATCATTATCTTCCTTATCTTGCTCGGAATTCTCTATTTCCGAGTGCTTCTTCGTCGTCATCAACGCGTTCTTTCTCACCACCGGTATCGGTGATGGTGATCTTCTTGTTTTTAGTATGGGTTGTTCGCTTTCTTTATCGTGATCATTATGTTCCTTACCTTGCTCGGAATTCTCCATTTGCGAGTATTGCTTCGTCGTCATCAACGCGGTCTTTCTCACCATCGATATTGGTGATGGTGATCTTCTTGTTCTTCGTGTGGGTTGTTCACTTTCTTTATCTCGATCATTATGTTCCTCATCTTGCTTAGAATCCTCCATTTCGGAGTACTGCTTCGTTGTCACCACCGCGGTCTTTCTCAACACCATCGGAATCGGTGATGGTGATCTTCTTGGTCTTGGAACGGACTGTTCGCTTTCTTTATCTTGATCATTATGTTCCTTATCTTGCTCAGATTCTTCCATTTCGGAGTACTGCTTCATTGTCACTACCGCGGTCTTTCTCATCACCATTGGTATCGGTGATGGTGATCTTCTTGCTCTTAGTGCGGGTTGTTCGCTTTCTTTATCAGGATCATTATGTTCTTTATCTTGCTCGGAATCCTCCATGTCTGAGTACTGCTTCACCGTCATCAATGCGGTCTTTCTCACCACCATCGGAATCGGTGATGGTGATCTTCTCGTTCTTAGAGTGGGTTGATCGCTTTCTTTTTCACGATCATTATGTTCCTTATCATGCTCAGAATCCTCCGTTTCGGAGTACTGTTTCATCGTCATCAATGCGGTCCTTCTTGCCGGTGATCGTGACCGTGCGTTTGCTCTGCTTTTCGCACGCCTTTCACTTTCTTGGTAAAGCAATTTCAAAGCTTCTTCCTTCTGAGCAAGGGCGTCTTTGAGCGTTGAACTTTCTTCCCTGGCAATGCTAGATGCTTCTTTGGCTACATTTGCTTCAGTTAAGGCCTGTTTCACTATGTCCCTTAGTCTCTGAATCTCTTCCTTTGATCTATTGATCATCTCTCCAACTTCATTAAGTGATTTCTGCAATGCTTTGCACTCTTCTTGCGCGGCATTCCTTTCGGATTCAACCTTTTTAATGCATTCGACGAACCCTTTCTCCTGCTGATTCCATGAAATTAGGGTTTCTTCCGCTTCTAACCTTAATCTGGTCGCAATGTTCTTTTGTCGATCAGCTTCTCTCTTCTCGTCCATGCATCGTTCCTCGACCTTCTTTAGCTTCCGTTTAAATTCCTCGAGTTCCCGTTTCGTGGCCTCGAGCTCTTCCTTTGTCAACGAGAGTTTATCTTTGGTTAGGTTGGATTCGGTAATCACTTCCTTCAACGCCATAGCTAAATCATCCATGGCTTTCTTCTTGTTCTCCTCGGCTTCGAAGGTGTGTCTCAGCTCCTTCTTGAACACATTGACTTCATCGGCTAGATTCTTAGCCTTATGTTGTGATTTACCCAAGTCCGCTTTAACCAATCGAAGCTCACGCTCGAGGGATTCGACCAAAGAATGATCATTACCAGCGAGCAAGGATTTGATTTCTTGCCTGGATTCTTCGAGTGAAACCTTGGTTTTCTCAAACTCTCTGGTCTGAGCCAACAAAGCGTCATGCATATTCTTTTCCGACTGTTTGGATTTCGCAAGCTCTTGTTTAAACGATTCGATGTACCTATCCTTGTTCTTCAATTCTTCCATGGCACTGAATAATGAGTTTTTTACTGCGGTTACTTCGGTGTGGATGTCTGTAACTTTTGAACTCGACTTCTTTCTGGACTCGTCGTGCCTCATCATGTCTTGTAAATTCATATTCTAAGCAATAGCATGAAAAAGTAGGTCATAAGCTAAGGATGGAGAAATCCATATTCAATTCCAAAAGATTTTTAATAAACGGTTAGGAAGAAGATTAACCTTGATTTAATTGGAACGACTTGGGATTTTATCTCTATGATAATGTTAAGAGACTTTCTTACGTTTGTCATACATTTGAGGAGATGTCTTTTTGGATGTCCAAACGATGAACGATTTCTTGTTTTTCCAAAAGGGAAAAAATAAAATGAAAAAAAATCAATTAAGTAATAACCAATTAATTCTAAAAATAATCAACATTTAGTGATTGGCATAAATATTAGCTATATTTTCTAATAACAGAATCTAGTTAAAAGTCCACCCCAGGAAACTATAGAAAGATACATGGAAAAAAAAATTAAAAGCTGAAATAAGGAAAAATATTTATACGTAAAGAGGAAAAAATCTAAGGTGAATGAGAATTAAATACGAAGAAAAAACTTAAGGTGAATAAGAATTAAATACTTCAGTTAAGTTTATTTTAATCTAATTTTATTTATATTTATAATTGTCAAATTTTTCTATAATAGACAGAATCGACATCGATATCGATAACTCTCTATTCAAAAAATCAAATAAGAAAGAATCAGATTCAACAATAAACATGAAAAGATCAATAGTAGTTTGATCATATTTTAATTTGACACTCTCATTTGATAGGCAAAAAGCATAGAAGAAAGTTTAATTATTACATGAATTTTAACGGAAGACTAAACCCTTAAGAATATTAAGAGATGCATTAACAAAATTAAGAAAACATTGACAGCTAAATGGTCATAAAGAATGAGTATGAAGTCACTGTTTTCTGCAGCGTGGATTTCCCCAGGCTGCTCATGCTCTCTCATGCTCTGATTTTATTTTTCTTTCGGACACAGACTTAAGGGATGATCTGTTGTACGACGGTTAAAAAATAGTGTGATCGATTAAATAAGTAATCGGTTAAAATTTTGACCGATAATGTTATATCATTTAATCAGAAATATTATCAAGTACAATAACATATTAGGTAGCGCTTATATAATGTAATAGGCAGCGCTTATATAATAAAATAGGTATTTAACCGGAAATATTATTAAGTACAATAACATATTAGGTAGCTCTTATATAATGTAATAGGTAGCGCTTATATTGACTTATTTTCGAAGTAAATCGATATATTTATACCGGTAACATTATAAATTTACCTATTACATTATTATTATCGGTTACGATGTTTTTTAGATCGATACAATTTTAAATGTATCGACACTTTATGCTTGCACGTGGTTGGGCATTCATATTTCATTCTGGAAAAAAATATCGACACAAACTAACAACGTGTCGATACATTATTTAGACATATTCTCTCATAAAACCGGTATATTTATACCGGTTACATTGAAAATTTACCTATTACATTATACTTATGGGTTTCGATGTTTCCGGGATCGATACTTTTTATAAATGTATCGACACTTTATGGTTGCACCCTTTTTGGTATTCATTCTGGACCAAAAGTATCGACACAAATTTATCAAGTGTCGATACTTTATGCTGACCTATTTTATCATAAAACCGGTATATTTATATTTGTTACATTGTAAATTTACCTAATACATTATAATTATCGATTTCGATGTTTTTGGGATCGATACTTTTAATAAATGTATCGACACTTTATGCGTGTACCTCGTTTGTGCATTCATCCTGGACAATAAGTATCGACACAAATTACACAAGTGTCGATACATTATGTTGACTTGTTTTCTAATTAACTGATATATTTATACCGGTTACATTGTTAATTTACCTATTACATTATAATTATTGGTTTTGATGTTTTTTGGGTCGATACTTGTATAAAATGTATCGACACATATTTAGGTAGTTATTGTACATACCTAAATATGTACTGCGAATTTAATGTTGTACCCACCCTTTAACTACCACTACCAATACCACATCCTATTGAAAGCAACACGACTAAAACATGTTCAATGAACCTTTGCTTACATCTCCATCAACTTCGGGACCACTGAACTTGCACAACAAATTTTTTGCCATGGATCATACTGATGCAGACAATGTTAAGCCAACCGAGGAATGCCATGAAGTACATAATGTTGATGAAGTACAAGGGATTCGTACGGGAACATGGGTTTAGTGCACGTAAGGGAATAACACGGCTTGACGTGGAAGGGAATGTGAAGACACAAGAATTTTGTTGTTCCAAAGAAGGGTTTCGAGCATCAAAAGTCAATATTGTTAATCGTCAACGTGCTCATATGCCAGTCACAAGAACAAGATGTAAGGCTAGAGTCGTAGTTACAACAACAAATACAAACGATCAGTGAGTTATAAGTAAGTCTTATCAGGAACATAATCATGCATTATGCACACCTGCTATGACACCATTTATGTGTTCTAATAGAGCTGTAAGTAAGGCTGATATCGATGTGGCAACAACATTGAAAGAGGTCGGTGTTGGCACGTCACAAGTAATGAACTATTTAATGTAGCAGGTAGGGGGCTATCATAATGTTGGATTTACACATAAAGACCTCTACAATGCACTTCAAAGAGGTAAAGCAAAGGAAATCGTCGATGGGGATGTGAATGTGCTTATTGCCTACTTTGATTATAAGAAACATGATGATCCCGGGTTTTTTATGACATACTCGGTAGACGAATCAGAGGCATTATATAATCTTATTTGGTTGGATTCTACATCAAGATCGGATTACACATGCTTCGGTGATGTAATTGCATTCAACACAACTTACAAAGATAATTTGTATGGTCGACCAATTATGCCTATTGTCGGTGTCAATCATCACCATAACACAATTGTGGTTGCCACTGCCATAATCACTGACGAGATGTCTTAATCTTTCGAGTGGGTGCTACAGAATTTTTTAGAAGCCATGATGAATAAATCACATATTTCAGTTGTCACCGATGGGGATAGGGCAATGTAGAGGGCTATCAAATCTGTTATCCCTTATGCTAAGCACATATTATGTTATTGGCATCTTTCTTGCAATGCACAAGCTAACATTGGTGACCCAAAATTTACAGTAGCATTCTCAAAATGCATGGCTTCCTGGTGGACAACCGAGGAATTTGATATTCAATGGCATTCGGTTGTTTCAGAATTCAATGTCGAAAAGCATCCATCGATTATTGAGAAGGGAAATACACGACACTTATGGGCACAAGCATATCTAACCGGTCATTTCTTTGCCAATATTCGCTTAACACAAAGGTGCGAGTCTATGAATGCTTCACTAGCGATTGCACTGAAACACAAGAAGACATATTTAGATGTTGTTCGTGCAATTGAAGATGGAATTAGTAGAATGCATATGAACGAGTTGAAAGCGGATTACTTAAGTTCCCATACGAAGCCCTTCCAGATCACAAAATTGTTTGACCTTGAAAGCCATGATGCTGCGATTTTTACCCGCGAATCTTTTCGTGCGTTCCAAGATGAACTTCTACGGGAGACATTGTACCAGATTAAGGCAGAGATTTAGTCCTTATCAGATGAATGTCAACATTATATTTTGTCAAAGTACAAAGAAAAAAATAGGAAATTTGAAATTAGTTTTGATTCTCGTACGAAAACCCTAATTTGCTCCTGCAAAAAATTCGAGACCGTTGGACTTCCGAGTCGCCATCAACTTCATATTTTGAAGCACTTGGATTACACATATTTTCCCGGGACTTTGATTCAAAGTAGGTGGACTAATGATGCGAAGGATTCTGCACCCAGTTATGTTGACTTGAATGTGTCTCCAGAAGTGATGCAAATGGCACGGTTCGCTGCTCTACGTTCAACGTCAAGTAGGTTATGCTACATTGCATCAAAGACAGACGAGTCTTTCAAAACCGCAAGAGATGAGATGAAAAGACTAATAGAAGAATTAGAAAACTCGTTTGGTTTGAATGATTCAGTCAACCAGAGCATTGTAGTAAACAACGTTCGTGACCCTCAACGAAAACAACGCAAGTGAAAAGAAGTACCGAAGAACAAGGTCGAGAAGATAATTAGGCGATGTGGGTACTGCAACGGTGAGGGATATAACAAACTAACATGTCCTCAAGTCAAGCTCAGTTTGAGTATAATGTAAATTATACAAAATTAACCATATATTTACAAAATTTACTCTCTTAGTATATTTTTATTGTGGATTAAGAGACTGTTTAATATTTCATCTGCATTATCACATAAATGCCATACAATCTGTAGAGTATAGTCTCCCGTAATCATGGTCGGAATCAGTTTTGTAACTGGGATTATCCAGGTTAATCATGTTGACAGCATAGCCAATAAATCTTGGGGTTTTTCAACAAAGTGTCGATACATGTTGTATACATATTCTCTCATAAAACCGGTATATTTATACCGGTTACATTGTAAATTTACCTATTACATTATAATTATGGGTTTCGATGTTTTATCGACACTTTTTGAAAATGTATCGACACTTTATGCGTTCACCTTTTTTGCATCCATTATGGACAAAAATTATCGACACAATATTAATAAGTGTTGATACATATTATAGACCTATTCTCTCATAAAATTGGTATATGTATACCGGTTATATTAAAAAATTACATATTACATTATAATTATGGGTTTTGATATTTTTGGGATCGACACTTTTAATAAATGTATCGACACTTTATGCGTGCAGCCCTTTTGGATCGACACTCTATGAAAATGTATCGACACTTTGTAGGTTCACCCTTTTTGGCATTTATTCTGGACAAAAAGTATCGACACAATACTAATAAGTGTCGATAAATGTTGTAGACATATTTTTCATAAAACCGGTATATTTATACCGGTTATATTGAAAAATTACCCATTACATTATAATTATTGGTTTCGATGTTTTTTGGGTCGTTACTTTTTATATATGGATCGACACTTTATGGAAAACTTTAAGTTTGGATACATTATAGAAAACGATTATAAATATACCGATATTTCTAAGTATAAAAACTTTGTTGTAGAGATCATAGAAAACATTTCTTTAATAATGTGTTTCGATACATTTGCACGCAGATGTAAAATACATTAATAACTAGTATTGATATTTCAACAATCCTCAAATGTATCTGTATACAGAGAAGCAAATATGGAATAATTAATGAAAATATACACACAATATAATCAAACCAAAAGATACATACACAACAATGTTCAAATAATGTACCGACAACGAAATTAATCCGATGAAAAAGGGTTATTTCTAACGAAGTCCGAAACATTAGGCGCCTTCAACAAATTTTCCAAATACTCTCGTATGTTTCCGCCTTTTTCTGACATACATAAATAATTTCAATTATCAAACTAA